TTAGAAATCATGACATTAATTTAAAATATATTTTAATTTGAAATGTTAGGTAGTGCTATGATAGACCTTCTAAGAAAACCACAAATATTAGTCAGTAGAAATTTAAGATTCCGAATATAATAAATTTGAAATATTTTTTTTAATTAAAGGATAATTTTGTTTAAAAATTCAGAGTCAATCGTCTTTGATACTTTAATTAGTCATCAAAGAATAAATTATCTTTAAAGAAATTCTAAACATGAATGTTTCATGTTCCACATTAAAGCCGGAATAAAGACGAAATTCGATTGAACACCATTGAATATTTTTATTTTGTAAAATAAAGATGCTAATAAAATATTCCCCCAAAACCTGTTCATACGTTTATTTAAAGTTACGTTTCAAAAAAAGTATTCACACGTCATATATGCATACGGTATTAATTATTTATTCTAATTATTCTAATTAGGACTATAGTAAAATTTAGCTATAATAAAAGTTTAAAACAATTTTGAATCTTATCTGTGAAATATGTTGCTTAATACATGTACATTCGTAAACGATGGATCTTCAAATTAATCTTTTAATCTATATTGGGTAAATAAGGAAGGATGACGATAAACATTTAAAAACTTTTGAGATAGTTGAAACAGGACGTCGTACATGTATCGACTAATTATTATTCATAACTCATTATGCCAATAGAGTTCTTCATTCAGCATTATATTCGTAATCGTATTCCCTTGCTTTTTATCAAAGGAGATATCAACCAATTTCAAAATTTTGTTGCAAAATTAATAGGTTTTTCTATTATGACCAAACTAAATTTTTCGTTTCTACAATAACCGAAGATACACATATCAGACTGTATAAATAACATTATCAACAGTCGTTTTCCTTCCTTTCATATTATCCTAAAGAAAAGAAGCATAAAATAACATGTTAAAGCATTTTCAAAGGCTTGAAAAATTATCATCTATAAATTATTTGATCAACAAATCACCTAATAAAATGTGATTATCTGAGTTATAAATTTATTATTTGTTTGGATCAAGTATTGATGTAAAAAGCATTATGTTATAATCATTATTATCTACAATAAAGTCACACAGATTATAAAGTTTCAAGTACAGAAATTTTGTCGACATGAGAATATTCACTTCAGACATAACGTGACATCGCAAGATGTCGTTATCTGAGAGTCGCCAAGGGACAAATTGTTTCATGATGTCATCAATTAACGCTGTCCACAGTTCTCCCCTCAAGACCATTGTCCTCAAACACAGACATAATTTAAAGCACTGTAATTAATCATGTGAAGAATAAGAGCTTAGTTTCCGTCAGAATTTTCAATAGCGTGATTTATTTTTGGCGGACGGTAACTTTTTTTGCCGTTGCATCCGACTCTGTACGATCCTGGATAGAAGATTGCAAGAATTCAGCCATCGTGCAGGTAGCAATAATATACTCATACCATCCTCTGTCAACCCAAGACGCTGCCGCTTAGAAATAGCAGCTGTATCAATGTTTATCAAGAATAGTGGTGCGAGCTTTGACATTGATTCTGCCCATCCACGAAGGCAGCAATAATTGCTTTCTCTGCAAGTTGCAGTACAGGCGTAATAACAATAAGTGTTCGTTGGATGGATTACCTTGAATAGAAAATCTTATGCTCACCTTGATTTTGTCAACGCCAAAGTGAATTTTATGCAGTTGTTTGCAAAGAAGGCAAAGAAGACAATTTGATACGTGTAATTAACATTCGTCAAGCAGAAATAGACATAAAAGAAAGACTGTTGAGTCCCGCCTAAAAGCATTCAGAAGCGACCAGCAGTTTCCCAGCTAGATGTCACTACACCCAAGGGGTCCCTTCCAATTACTATCAGTGGCAACAAATTCCCAGACAACATACCTTCCAGTCGGATTTCAGAAGTTGTTCTGCCATCTGAGCATCGTCATCAATCCATCCTGGCGTGTTTCTCGAAATCTTTTTAATACAGTCGAACATATAAGGTTGTTTTCAGAGCAATAATTTTTTGCAATAACTCAGACGTCCAATTTTCATACACAAGTTCGAATCTTTAATTTAGATGTGCTGCCTTAAATCAATTATTTTAAAACAAAATTTTCACAAATTAATATTAAGTTTTAAAGAACAAAGCCACAAAGCCAAATTTGCAATTAAGTTAAAAAAATTACCAGTCGATATAAAGTTTTGTCCGAGCGAACCAAGTCATAATTGCACACAAAAAAGAGATTAAGAAAACCTTAAAATCTCGTAACTTTGTAAATATTGCAAGTAAGAACCAATTGTCATTAAAAGTATTTGGCCAAAAAAAGTGCGATCTTTGCATAAAATATACCCATTTTTAGCTTTTAAGGTATACTGCGCACCCAATGCCACATGTCTACTAGTCAAGGATTCTTCATGACGATATATCATGATATATTCATAACGATCTATCATGATATATTTCATGACGATATTTCAGCGCTAACATAAAAAGAAAGGTCTGTCTTAATACCATCAAATTTAACAATGTCTTCGAGCAAAACTTCTACCGACTCTCCACCCATAAGCATCCTAGCCCAGAACAATCACCTACTCAATAATTTTGCTACCGGTTCAAACATCACAACATGGAATAAGTACTTGGAATATTCTTTAAAGAATATAACCCAAACTTAGTTAATCGTTACGATTTCTGGGTGGGCGCTAAATAAAAATATTATTGATATGGATAAACTAATACTTATTATATAAATTAATATAAAAAGTAATAATAGTCATATTTTTTATGTATAACTTAATAATAAATTGCTAAAAATTTATAAAAATTTGGTATTATATTCTTTAGGATAATAAAAACAAATTTTCTAAGATTACAAAATATATTAATATAGTAATATTTTGTGAAATCACATACTAAAGATGATTAATAAGGAGACTATCCTAGTTAAAGTAATATAAAAAATTATTTAAAAATATTTTTTATAAGCAAGTATGAAAATAAATTTATAGAAATATATTTAAAAATATAAAAAATATATTTGTAATTTAAAAAAAATTTTTTAATTAATATTTATTAAACAAATATTAGTCTAAAAAAGACTTAATTTTAATAAATTTCATAATAAAATATAATAAAATATAGCAAAATATAATAAAAATATTATTATTTTATTATGAAATTTATTAAAATTAAGTTTTTTTTTGACTAGCATTTATTTAATAAATATCAATTGAAAAATTTTTTTTAAATTATAAATATATTTTCTATATTTTTAAATATATTTTTATAAAATTATTTTCATACTTGCTTATAAAAAATATTTTTAAAATATTTTTTGTAATACTTAAACCAGGATATTCCTCCAATCTATTATCTTTAGTATACAAATTCACAAAATATTACTATATTAATATGTCTTGTGATCTTAGAAAATTTTATTCTTATTATTCTAAAGAATATAATATCAAATTTTTGTAAATTTTTAGCAATTTCTTATTAAATTATAGGTGAAAAACATAATTATTATTACTTTTTATATTGATTGTATTTATTTAAATAGTATTTAAATTTGAGAATTAATTTATAAAATAAAATAATATATTTATATAAACTAAAATAAATAATCTAAAATATATATAAATTTTACTTAATTAAAAAATTAATAATTTTATATCTTTAAAAGACTAATTATATTTAATTTAATAATATAATAATAATTAATAATATAATAAATAATAATATAAGAAGAATAAAAAAATTATAAAAAAAATTAATTAAAAATAGAAATAGTTTAAATTAATAATTAGATAGTATATAATATTAATTTATATAAGAATATATTTTAAACTAAATTAATTTAATATATAATAATTATTTATATATTTTATTTATATATTTAAAATAAAATTGATTTTTATAAAAAATAATATAATATTATAATATAATATAAGAAATATAAAATAAAGATCTAAGCTAAAATAAATATAATTAAATTAAATTATTATAATTCTTGATAAATAAAAAAATATTTATTAATAATTATTAGCTTTTTATCAAATATTTATTAATTATCTATAAAATTCTAATCTAGCTTCTTGTAAAAATTTTATTAGATATTTATATAATTTTAGATATTTATATTTGAAAACTTAAATAAATATATTTAAAAATTTAAATTTAATTTAATAATTTAATTCTATTTATTTTATAATTAATTATAAATCTTTACTTTAATAATTATTTTTATTTATTTTTTCTATTATAATAAATCATATCTAATTATTATATATTTTTTTTGAAAATAATTATAATTAAAAAAACTTAATTCTAAATAAGTTATATATTATATTATTATTATTTAATTAAAAAAATTTTATAAGCTTTATATAAATGATAAAAAACTCTAATTTAGTTTTTATTTAATATATACTTTTATTTTATTTTTAATTTTTTTATTTAAAAAAATTATAAAAAAAATTAAGTTAGTATATTTAATAATTTTTGATTTATAATTTTTAGTTTTTGTTTTATAATTTAATTTTTAATATTTTTATTTTTTATAATTATATTGTTATGAAGAATTAGTAAGTGGGATTTCACTTTAATTCATCTTAATGATATAGGGTTGGGAGAAACTGAAATAATTAAAAGATAAAGAGAGGGGAATTAGATTATACTTTTAATAATGACAAAGATTTCTTAGAAGGTCTATCATAGCACTACCTAACATTTCAAATTAAAATATATTTTAAATTAATGTCATGATTTCTAA